CCAACAGTAACAACTATTGGTAATGCAAGATTATCGAAATCTTATATTACTTGACAACCAAACATGGTAATCAAGTAATATAAGATAACATAACACCAATAATCTTCTATTACTTCTACTCAAACATCTCCTTAATTATAAGCATAACATTGCTCAAATTCTTTACTAACCCCCAAAGCCCAAGCCCGATTACTTCTGTTAAATTTTTTTTTATGAAATGACTATTTGATCCTTGTGTAATTGTTTCTCATATAAGAATATTTTCCTAACTGATATAAAAATAATGGAATTCAGTCGGTTAAATACATTTAGCTATTTTTAATATTTCAATTAGAAATATATTCTTATATGAGAAACAATTACAAAAGGATCAAATAGTCATTTTCTCAAAAATTCTAACCGAAGTAGATGGATTTGTACTTTGAGGTTGTGAGTAATGAATTTTTTGGGGCAGATTAATTACAAGGGTAAACGACTTTTTCCCACTCAAATAATGACTTAATGATATTTTTTCACTTACAGACTTTTAAAATATCACTTTATTATCTAAATTTATATTCCGATTTCGATTCCAACATCGTTGCGACCCCACACCACCACTATTCTCTTTCCTGATCATCACTTATCAAAACTCCTCAAACCCTATTGCCATCAATCTCGCTAATTGATAGAAATCGAGCGATTAGGGTTTGCGTAGCTGCTCCTCTCAATTCAAATTCAAATCAATCTCAACCACTAAAATTCAACATTCCACCACCAAAAGACTCATTGGTTTTCTCTCTTCAAAACTCTAACAGCTTAGATCGAGTTTACTCTCTGTTAGTCGCCAAAATATAAATATGGATAATAAAATAATATTTTAAAAGTCTGTGAGTGAAAAAGTATCATTAAACCATTGTTTGAGTGGGAAAAAGTTATTAACTCTAATGACAATGATAGAACGCACTCCCTTAGTATTATTTTGAGAAAAGCAGGAGAGGTGAGGATTTTTGCCCCTTTTTAAAATATACAAAGATAAAAAGTTTAGTATAATGGAATCAAAGTACACATATTTTGATATTCAATTTAATTGAAGTAAACATAAATTTTTTCCTCCTAAAATATGGTGCTATGCATTCCAGTTACGTACTCTAAATTTTATGTTTTGTGTACTGAAAAGAGAGTACGACTTTTCTTGGCCACCCACGGGTTGCCTTAATGACATTTTCCCACCTAAAAGGTTTTAAAATACAATTTTTCCATCCAAGTTTATGTTCTGCAAATATCCAAAATATACTTCACTTTATTAGTCGGTATTTGATGACTTGCCAAGAGCCAGGATACGAGGGTTTTTGTATAGTAGATGCCGATCGATCAATGGTAGTGATCGATTGAATATTCACCTCTAGAATCAGCTAAGAATAAGAAACTCTAGCTTTATAACAACTAACAATCAGCGAGAAATCAGGTACTGGAGTAAGAAGAGTTTTATAGAATAGAGACCGAAGATTCAAATGGTGGTGACGGACAGAATTTTCACAGGCAGAATTGGCTTTGGGTAGTAATAAAATATTAACTTTGGGTGGGAAAGTGGTATTTTAAAACTTTTTGAGTAAAAAATGTGATTAAGGCAAACCTTGGGTGGGAAAAAATCGTTTACTCACTCAAAAAATAGATTATTTAAATGTCAAACAAAGTGGAACATGATAATTTTTGAAGGCTTAAATAAATATAGAATAATAACAAGAAATCATCAAGGACTCCAGCAATATTGAACTACCCAACATAAAGACGAAAGTGATATATATAAATATGGTATTAATAGACACCACCCAAAGAAGCCGACTTACAGAAGTCATAAAATTCTCAATCCAAGTCCAAACTACCTTAGACTTGCTGATTTTCTGAAATATCATGGGTGCCAAAAGTGTTCAAGAACTGAGCATGAATGGCCAAGAATTACCTCAAAACTATATCTACAAAGACAGTGATGGAGGAATCTTTGATGCTTCTCTACCGATCATGGAGATCCCAATTATTGATATTGCTCTCATCACCTCTCCATCATCCAGTAAAGAAGAACTTGAAAAGCTTCGTTCAGCTCTCAGTTTCTGGGGTTGTTTCCAGGTCTGGTTTTTTTAACTATGAATAATCTTTAAAGAAAGTATATCTCACTTGGTTCAATTTACTTTCTGCCACAGACATGATGTTGCATCGGCTGAGCCATTAAAATGTGTGAAGCTACACAATACTTACTCAAATATTTAAGCCATCTCATCCCAATCACAAAGATTTATATTATGAGCTCGGATATCCATCTCAGCTTCCCCTTTGCCTCTTGGTTTTTTGAATTAATATTTGAACTTTAAAAAATTTGAGGATGCTTTAAAATATAAGACATAAAGAAATTTGAAGCTATAAGAGATGAAACTAAGTAAATTAAAAGTTAAAACCCTATAAACACTGATTCGTCCAGAATTCATCTTTGTATTGATTAATGTTGATCTTGCATTAATTGCTTTTACTATTATACTTTGAGCATTTGAGTTGCAGGCAATGAATCATGGTATAGAAAAAACATTTCTGGACAAAGTGCGTGAAGTCACCAAGCAATTCTTTGCACTTCCACAAGAAAAGAAGCTAAAATACACCAGAGAAGATGGTGGAATTGAGGGATACGGAAATGATATGATTGTTTTGGAGAATCAAACACTTGATTGGACTGACCGATTATATCTTTCTGTAAGTCCAAAAGATCAGCGACAACTCAAATACTGGCCTGAAAACCCTGAAACTTTCAGGTAATTTAGTTGTTTATTCATAATGTATAAGCAAAGAATTTATCACTGCAACAAAAGAAAAACTGTCACAGGACGTTTGGTACATTCTGATTCTGTTTCTCTTTTAATAGAAATGAGCACTATTTTTGCTCACAAATTGAATGATGGATTATGCATGCTAACCTTGTTTGTTGTATTAATACAGGGAAATTCTACATCAATATACTGAGAAGACAGAAGTGATGATTGAAGTCATCTTTAAGGCCATGGCGAGGTCATTAAGTTTGGATGAAAACAAGCTTTTTGGATATGTACGGAGAACGAGCCACATTAGTTGCAAGATTCAACTTGTATCCTCCATGTCCAAGGCCTGATGCGACTCTCGGTCTGAAGCCTCATGCAGATGGATCAGCTCTCACCATTCTCCTGCAAGACAAAGAAGTAGAAGGCCTCCAATTCCTGAAAGACAATCAATGGTACAGAGTTCCAATCATTCCTGAAGCACTTGTTGTTAACGTCGGCGATCAGGCAGAGGTAATCAGGCTCATTGTATAAGATTGAGCTCTCTTTTATAAGAATTCTCAAAACATGATCATTGTGGTATTATTTTCTTGATTTAGTGTTTGTGGACTGCAAAATTTAAAGAATTTAAAGTCATTTAAGTTTTGGATGATGCACGCAGATAATGAGCAATGGAATTTTCAAGAGTCCTATGCACAGAGTGGTGACAAACAGAGAAAGAGAAAGAGAAAGAATTTCTTTGGCCATGTTCTTTACTCCGAATTCCGATAGAGAGATTGAAACTGTGAATGGATTGGTAGATGAGACAAGGCCAAGACTATACAAGAAGGTGAAAGATTATTGTAGCTTCTATTTTCAATATTACCAGCGAGGTTTAAGGCCAATTGAAGCAGCAATGATTTAGCTTTCTTTGAGTAGCCGGTTTGTTTGTATTGTGGGTTTGATTGGTGCTTGTACGCTTTGGTTTTCGGATTTCCGGTTCAAACTGGTTAATTGGTTTTGAACACTCTAGTTTATACATTTTTGTTTCTAAATGGGCAAACATTAGTAGAGTTGCCAGTTCTATTATGTTATTGATTAAAGAAAATATATATTTGCTATTGAGTTTGTGTGGAAGAATTTGAGTTTCAGTTAAAAAATATATAATTTGTTATTGAGTTTATATTAGAGTTTGTCTTCATACCATTTAATCTATCACCAATTTGTTAATTTAAGATAATAATGGTATGTTTGATACACGACATTACATAGCATTAAGCAAAATGCATTGTGTTCTATAATGCTATATAAAATGTTATCTCATATTTGATAAAATATGGAATTGTATTATTTTTATATTATATTATGTTATGTTTGGTGTACATTGTATAGTATTGTTTTTGTTAATTCATTTTATTAAAAACTAATATATGTTTTTCCATTATTATTTAACTAATAAATTAAAAAAATTCCAAACTTGAAAGGCTAGTTATCAATTTTGGTCAGCGAAAGTTAAGATGATAATCAAATATTGGTCAACACCAATCAAACTATGATCAACGTTGTTGATCAACCATTGCATATTTAATATTAAAATTAATTGATAATGTTTATTTGTTTAAAATTAATACCAAGTAACATTGCATTGACCAAAACAATGGTTTTAGTAAAGCATTATTTAATGTAGAATAGATTGCATTATTTAACTTGGTATTATTTATACAATGGAGCTTTGTTACTAAACATTGTGTTATATAGTTTAGCTTATACTATGCTATGTTGCTTGTAAATAATAAACTAAAAAGTTGAGAAAAAAAAAATTGTAAAATAACTAGCTTACCGAGGGTAAAATGGTCATTGCACAAGTTAATTTTAAATAAAAATCAATTATCACACTTTAACACATGATCATAACAAAATTTAATGGCAAAATTATAACTTAACAGTAAATATGGTACAAAAGGCAAAGGGTAAAATGTTATTTGACTACCGTTTCCTCTGACTTCGTTATCCCTCGTGTGGCGGGATGATAAAAACCCCTAGACACTCATTAATTGTTTATTTCATAAAAAAAAAAAAAAAAAAAAAACTCAAATTTATAATTTATATGTAATAAGATAAGAGTACTAATAATTTATTCAGACAACAAAACGGCCAATAAACAGAGACCAAGTCTCAAAAGTAGGCTCCACATAATATTCAAATTAATTGAAGCCACAAACCAGGTGTTCCGTGGCCACCTCAACCACCTCAAGCCGTTAAACTTTTGCCTTGCCATTCCATGACTTCTCTCTTCTCAACTAAAACAAAGAAAACACTAAACACCACTCTCTACTTTCTGTATATTTCCTTGCCCTTCCTCTAAACTCACTCGAAACTCAAAGGAATGGCCAGACTTACACTCAGAGCAGACAACTTTTGTCTTCTTTCTAACAGTGCAAGCTCTCAGAGATTAATCCTTAACAATCCCACTTCATTCAACCGCCATAGTGTTCTTTCATTTCCTGCTAAACATGGTTTGAGGTTCAGAGTTTTATGTGGCATCAAAGAGAAGGAAAATGTAAGTGAAATTGGGGAGTTTGATGGAGTACTTACTGGTCTACGAGTGGATGAACTTGAGCGAGCGGGTTCGGTTTCAGAATCAGAGGGAGAATTAGGCCACACAAGCGGGTCTGGAGAAGTGGGTTTTGAGTCGAATTGGCCGCCGTGGAAGGATATTCCTCAGAGATATAAACTTATTGGAACTACTTCGCTTGCGTTTGTTATTTGTAACATGGATAAGGTAGTTCTTTGTTCACTTATTCTCGGGAATTTCTACGAACATGTTTTGTGGCATTTCTGCATAGCAAAATTTACAAACATATGTTAGCCTTCCACCTTTATAATTCAGTGCATATATTTGTTTGTCTTACTATTCTTATGCCTGACGTTAAAGGATCACACCATAACAAATGAAACCTCGTTTGCTTTTAGTGCTTGCTAAAAGTATCTGAAGGGCTCATTGTTATCTGAGCAATTAATTTTAACTGTTGTCATATTCATGATCATCATATAAACATTTATTTGATGTTCTTGCGAATAAGGTTTCCGTGGGATATGGGCACTTAAAAAAGAAGCAAATGCACTTGTTTTTGGGGTTATTAAAGGGTGAAGGACAGAAAGATTAATCCTATGATGTAAAACCGCACGTTAGAACAAGGGGTCTGGATATAAGTGTTGCTTGTTTGATACTTGGGTTTTGGTGTTTCATTTTGATTCCGTTCTTATTATTTTATTAACTTTTATAGGTGAACTTGAGCATTGCAATAATTCCAATGTCACACCAGTTTGGGTGGAATTCATCAATGGCTGGATTGGTTCAATCATCGTTCTTTTGGGGTTATGCATTGAGTCAGTTGCCTGGGGGTTGGCTTGCCAAGATATTTGGTGGGAGGTTTGTTTTTGATGACTTTGTTTACTTCTATTATGTTTTATTATCTATTCTTGCAATTAAAAGAACTGTTTCTCATCATACAATCATAAACTTTGTTGTCCTTTCTGAGAAAAGGAACAGAAATCAAGTCTTTATATGTCAAAGTTGAGGAATAGGTTTAATTAATAGTTTTCACATGTGCTCGGGTAGATGAATTGGTTTATATAGACATGGGCCATTCTAGGTTTTGGCATATTCAATGTTACATATTAAGAGATCAGACATATTGGATGGGTTATATATCAATTTTACCAATTAATCCCAATTTCAATCAAAATTACCAAAGTTCAATTCCATCAAGTACATCAACAAACATATCATTACAATATGCATTGATTTAACATAATCATCAATCATTTTCAGTGTGTATAATCATTTTCAGTGTGTATGAAATATATAAGTTTGAAAACAAATCAATAAGAAGTAAATCACGAAGGAACATGAAACTTTTTAGCATGGACAGCCATCACTAAGAAGAAACAAATCCATATGAGAAAGAAATCTACTATGAAAGTCAATAATAGTATAATCGACTTAGACATGAGTTCAATTACCTTGAACACACGTACTTTGCCCTCTCTAGGGAACTCTATTGGTGCTTTTTGATATCAAGTCCTTAAATGATTGTACCTCCACATTACATGCTTGATCTCCCAACAAGCCTATCAAGTGCAATCCTTGTTAATAAATGGTTTTATACAAGATTCCCATGAGTTTGGCCGCTTCTCACAATGTGTTTCTGACAAAAACACAAAATAGAATGGAAAAAATCTGGATTGAATAATCCTAGTTTCTAAAATGGGTTCCTCTGTAGAATAATTTATGTTGCTTTAATGAGTATGAAAATATAAAAAGTCATTTCAGAAATGATCTTGATGTGTCCCAAAAGCCCTCTTTCTCTCCATGCTGCTAAAGGTTTGTCTAATACTAATACTTGGGAAATATCAAACCTAAACTCTTTATGAATGACATCTCCTTTTAGAAGAAAAAATCTTAGGCTAGGGACTTAACTGTTTAGAGCACTTTTGATAAAAAGGTAATAATAATAATGGTAAAAAAACAAAAGAATCAACCTAAAATGGGAAAACTTTACCAAATTTGTTGCATCCTTGCTATGGCAATAGACTGATATAACAATTCTTGGCCGACAAAGTTTTTCTTGTTATGGTGAGCGGTATCCTTTCTATAGCTCGCTTTAAAGAAATAAATGCTGCATAAAAAAACTTTAATATAAATGGTTTTCATTCTATTCAATAACCTATTTTATTTAATGTAAATAAATAAATAACCATTATCCAGGCTCAACAAAACATCAGGAAAAAAACTGAAATTTTATCTAAACATATTTTTTCATTTCTTGTTCTAAATTCATTTTTTGGTTACAGAAAGGAAATTGTACTTTGCATTTTGACCAAGCAAAAGAAATCAGTTAGTTGTTACATGCTTTATGTCACATAAACCAAAAACAATTATAATCAAATGAGAAAAGACTGATAATTTTCTTTCGCTCACTTTGGTAATAGCAATCAGAGACTCCTTAAGTTATATTCTTCTTCTGCAGGAGAGTGCTTGAGATTGGAGTGCTGACTTGGTCCCTGGCTACAGCACTTGTACCTCTTCTTGCTGGATTTATGCCTGGATTAGTCCTGTCACGCATTTTGGTATGTTGGTCTTCAAATTGTATAATTGCAGTCCAACTTGAAGAAACATCTTTTACCTTTCGTCCATTTGCAAAGTTCCTATTTATGTGTAATAATTGTGATTATTCTTGTTTAATTGTAAATTTTCTTGCCAACCACCATGTTCATTCATGCATCCTGCAGGATAGTTTGATAAGTTCTCTTGCTTTCTCTCTCTGTCCCATAAAATCATCCAGCTCTGAGTCTCATGTCTTAAATGTTTATTAGTTTTCCTATATCATAACTGACTGTGTTCTTTTATATCTTTTAAAATCTAGGTTGGAATAGGAGAAGGTGTTTCCCCATCAGCTGCTACTGACCTTATAGCCAGGCATGTATGACTTACAAAGTACTTGAGGATCATGCTATTTGATTAACTATGTCACTGAATTTTAAAATTGTTGGACTCTGCCATTGAAATTTACCAAAAGCTTTCCTAGATTTTGCCATAAAGAAACAATTAAAGCAGCTTAAACAGTTTGCAATTAGGTCAAACCTCAATAGATGTCATTGCAATTTTTCCTAAAATAAACTCCGTCTGATTCCCATATTTTTAATTGATCTCATAATATTGATAATCCTTTGGCTGTCAATATGGTATTATTTTGCTTATGGTTTGCTTTCTGCACCACTTGATTGGCTTTTGTCCAATGTAACATGCAGGTTTATACCTTTGGAAGAGCGCTCACGTGCTGTATCTTTTGTCTTTAGTGGACTCAGTGTTGGCAGTGTTACAGGGTATGTTATGTTGAAATCCTGTTTTGGGTTGATAAAAGACTTGCTTCATCTTGGATAAATACCTGATAGTTTAACCTTGCTTTTAGAATTCACAAGAGGCAAACGTCCGACTGTCAAGTATAGAAATTTTCAAGGGCTAAACAAGTAGTAAATGTCTGAATTTTGCCTAAAGAATATAAAATATGTAGATTTTTTGTGCTAATACTTTTGTAAAACAAAAAAAAAAATTATCCTTTTTAACTGTAGTCTGCAAGTTCCCCTCACATTTTTTCATGCTATTAGTTGTTTATCCATAGTCTTCTGTGGTTTCCTGTTGAGATAGATGTATGTAGTGTAATCTAAGTTTGCTGCAATAGAATTTCGTGAGTCTGTTTGTTGTGTCTATTTCTTTTCCCTATCTTTATTATCTTTATCTCTCTCTCTTTTTGTCTGTCCTGTAACCGACATCCTAACAATAACATTCGGACCTTAACTTGGAATATTTTGCTTCCACTTCATTTTATAACAGGTTGAATTTGAAATTTACCCTGAGAATCTTAGTTTCTAATCTGGTAAGATATCCTTAATATCAGCCAAACAATGAGACATTGGCCGCCACTAAATAGATTTGAGGTCTGATAACTGTGATATGTCAACTAAAAATGCTCAATTTATAGATTGAATGAGTGTTTGGCCATTAGTGATTTCTCACATTAAAAAGTTTTGCAGGCTTCTATTGGCTCCTCCCCTTATTCAAAATCTTGGCTGGGAATCTGTATTTTACTTGTTTGGCTTCTTTGGGATAGCATGGTGAGTTACTATCTCTGAAATCNTTGATTAACTATGTCACTGAATTTTAAAATTGTTGGACTCTGCCATTGAAATTTACCAAAAGCTTTCCTAGATTTTGCCATAAAGAAACAATTAAAGCAGCTTAAACAGTTTGCAATTAGGTCAAACCTCAATAGATGTCATTGCAATTTTTCCTAAAATAAACTCCGTCTGATTCCCATATTTTTAATTGATCTCATAATATTGATAATCCTTTGGCTGTCAATATGGTATTATTTTGCTTATGGTTTGCTTTCTGCACCACTTGATTGGCTTTTGTCCAATGTAACATGCAGGTTTATACCTTTGGAAGAGCGCTCACGTGCTGTATCTTTTGTCTTTAGTGGACTCAGTGTTGGCAGTGTTACAGGGTATGTTATGTTGAAATCCTGTTTTGGGTTGATAAAAGACTTGCTTCATCTTGGATAAATACCTGATAGTTTAACCTTGCTTTTAGAATTCACAAGAGGCAAACGTCCGACTGTCAAGTATAGAAATTTTCAAGGGCTAAACAAGTAGTAAATGTCTGAATTTTGCCTAAAGAATATAAAATATGTAGATTTTTTGTGCTAATACTTTTGTAAAACAAAAAAAAAAATTATCCTTTTTAACTGTAGTCTGCAAGTTCCCCTCACATTTTTTCATGCTATTAGTTGTTTATCCATAGTCTTCTGTGGTTTCCTGTTGAGATAGATGTATGTAGTGTAATCTAAGTTTGCTGCAATAGAATTTCGTGAGTCTGTTTGTTGTGTCTATTTCTTTTCCCTATCTTTATTATCTTTATCTCTCTCTCTTTTTTTCTGTCCTGTAACCGAAATCCTAACAATAACATTCGGACCTTAACTTGGAATATTTTGCTTCCACTTCATTTTAAAACAGGTTGAATTTGAAATTTACCCTGAGAATCTTAGTTTCTAATCTGGTAAGATATCCTTAATATCAGCCAAACAATGAGACATTGGCAGCCACTAAATAGATTTGAGGTCTGATAACTGTAATATGTCAACTAAAAATGCTCAATTTATAGATTGAATGAGTGTTTGGCCATAAGTGATTTCTCACATTAAAAAGTTTTGCAGGCTTCTATTGGCTCCTCCCCTTATTCAAAATCTTGGCTGGGAATCTGTATTTTACTTGTTTGGCTTCTTTGGGATAGCATGGTGAGTTACTATCTCTGAAATCAGCAGATTATTGACCTACTTCTGAGCCATAGTAACCTTTTCTATGTGGAAAGCAGTATGCAAAGAAATTTTAGTTATGTAAAATAAAAACGAGGTTTCATTGATGTTGCACTCAATTGTTCTTGTGAATCTGAATATTAAGAACTTTCTTGGTCATTTTATTTTTGTTGTTTTTTTTTCTGCTATTTTTTTTCTTATATGTAGACTTGACTAAGTTTTACCTTGAACTGTGTCATCACCAAACAAAAATTGAAGGTTTTCAGGGTTTCGGTTTCTTAGAGAAGCAGAAACTTCGAATGAGTTTGAAACCATTGCACGTGAGTTCTCAATACCTAACCTCTCCTATACAATTTGATAATTAAAATTGAAAGGTGCACTTTTGTCATAAACAAGACAAATGTTAATCATTTTTATCCAGGTCTATTATACTTTTTTCCTGTTAATTTGAAACCTATATTTGTTTCAGTTGATCTGTGAATGCATGCTTAAAGGATAGTCTAATACATACTTTCAGAGAAGTATGATTGTCATTATTTTTGCTTCCATTTTATCATTGGCTTCGATGTGAACTTGCACTGGGAAGGGTATCCAAAAAGCGGATTCATGGACCAAAGAATGGCAAGTCTTCATACCAAATAATTTAGGGATTGCTACATATGGTTCCCTAGTTAACTTCACTAAACACATTCCCAGTGTGTGTATTGTGCCAACTGATGGATAATGGTACTGGCAGTACATATATGTCAAGTTGTAGGGCAATAATTCTGTGGACTCTATCTGGGATTATTATAATTATTTTATTTCGTTAGATGTCTGCCAAGAATCACTATATTATGTTATAATTTATTTATCATATTTTTCTTCTGTTTCTGTTAATGATTATATACAGAAACCTTAGCTATTGTGTTCATTTCATTTTCCCTTGAGTTATTCATGCAGTTATAATCAGAAATTCTTTTTTTCATTTAATTTGATAGAGTCCCAATCTATCAATAAGGAGAAATCATGGACTACTTATCTGGAAGAATGGGGTGGATCTTTGAAGGTATGATATAATCCGAAATCTCTTCTTTTGCATAATTTTGGGCAGTTGATAGTGTTTTCTAATTGTGCAAGATCTACTGTTTCTGAAATTTTGCTGAATATCTAAGTTGGGTGATAACATTAGCTTGAGGAACAAGAGACAGATCCTGACGTTCCTCAGGGTGTTCATATTCATTTGAATATGATTTGGTTCAAGTTTATTCAATTTTAGCATCCTATTGGTAATCTGTAAGATCTTGAATTTTTCCCCCGCTGAATTAAGTAGGCCGATCCTGGTTCCAGCATATTAACAGTGACATCTTGATTTGTTATTTTACATCTTTGCATATTCTTGCTTAAAAACAACAGAAGCAATAATGACACCTCTGTGTAGTCTTTTCCTGTATGCTGGGTCTCTTGAAAGAGCCTTGTCATTGGCCATACTTGTCAATTATAATCTGTAGAGCTATATTCAATTGAATATGACTTGGTTTAAGTTAATTAATGATTAACAACTTTAATGCCCTGAAATAGCACGGTTTCTTTGGGACAGATCCTGGTCATTTGGGTCTACCTTGTTAAGTCTCAGTTGAACTATATAACTGCTTAACTAACATCATAAAAGCAATGGTTTTTACTGTATTAGTTATGCCTCTATATTTCAAGAATGATTATTTAGCCAAATCCTGTTATAGTTTTAGAATCCATACACTAGGACATCAATGAAGCTCAAAGTTCCTTGGCAATGAAATTTGGGTAGAAATTGTATTTATTTAGTCATTTGAGAAAGATTAGAAATTTCTATGCTGTACTCTGCTTTTCCCAATATAAGCTTAATGGTACATGTGAATGCAAGAAACAAGTTTAGAGTTTAAACTCAACAGGCTACTGCACAGCTTTGGAATCAGTTGTGCATCACAATCCCCTCTCTGAGCAGATTTCCTCATTGTATATATTTTCTTGAATTTCTATCATTCTCAAAGTCACCACTCCAACCAAAGAGCAGATGTTTATTCCAATAATGGATGTAGACGACTTGTTCTGAGTTGTAAGGAAACCATCATAGGTAATTAATGATTTTGTTTTAGTCCTTGGATTTATGAAATAGGGGCACACAAGTATGTTGTTTTCATCTCACAATTTATTGAAATTTAAGTTTTCAATTATAATAAAAAAATATTGAATGTTAGGGACCTATTGAGAAAGATATTGACAAACGCAATCTGTGCTCATCCTCATTCCCATCTCTGAATCAATTTGCTTAAATGAAATCATCTTTACAGTTTGATGTTTGACTTAAATTCTTGGGAAAATTTTATCAGTATTATGCTATTGTGCGTTTTTGTTTTTAATATCGTGGCATGATTAACCATCATCATCATGACTTGAAGAGAATAGTGTTGATAGCAAGTGATAACTATTTTTAGTTCTTCAGGGAAGTAATAGCATTATTCCTTTATGCTAGACTTTATTTATTTTCTCATTTTCTCACTGGCTCTTGTGTACTAGGATGTACCATGGAAAGCATTTTTCCGGAGTCAAGCTGTATGGGCAATGATATATACTCATTTTTGTGGAAGTTGGGGTCACTACACTTGTCTATCTTGGCTTCCTACTTATTTTAGGTATCATTTTGACTGCTGACCTTTTTAATTTTTAATTGGTTATATTCATGTGACATTGGCACTTGCCAATAGATTTTTTTTTTTTTTTTTATGACCGGGATGTCCGGCTCAGCTTGTGCGCACCTCAACTAATCCGCAGGGTTCATTTAACACCTTACAAGCCCAATAGGTCAGGTAAGTCATAAATGTGGTAGGTGACCACTTTATGAGACTCAAACACAAGACTTTTTGCCCACCTAGAGTCTTGTCATCCGGCCACAAGCCAAGTGGTTCAGTTGCCAATAGATTGTGCCAACAGTTTTGGCTTAAAGTTATATTGTTCTAAAATTATGTCCTTTTTTCTTAAAAAAAACAAAATGAAAATGCACAATTCATGAATGTTACAAGGCAAACTAACTAGTATGACGGAAAAGATGTATAGTTGATAGTTTACATAACAAGTATGAAGTATTATGTCTTGGAATGAATTTATATCTCGCTCTTTCCTTCACTTTAAAGACATGATTTTCCTTAATTAAGTTTAAATGGAAACAAGGAGTTCCATTTTGTTGCCTTGTCAGCATGAAAAAAATCCTGTGTCAGGAAATAATTTTTCTTTTCTTTTTTGTTTTCAGAATGCTTAATTATTTTTTGTTCACATGCTTAGAACTGCAGTTAATATTACTCAAAGGCATTTAGCATCAGTAATTGTTGCATCTTCCTTTGTTCTTGTTATACTCTAGTGGCCACAAAGAAATCTGAGTTCTAATTTCATGCAATGCAGTGAGGAGCTGAATCTAAATTTGACAGAAGCTGCATGGGTAAGCCTAAGGATCTATGCCTTTTTACTCTACTAGTACATTCTTTAGCAAAGCGACACATGGATGAAGCATGTCAAGTATAAGAACTTTCTTTTCAACATCTTATATAGGACTGGAAAGTGGAAATATATTAGGTAAATGTGCATCTATATGAGAGAGAGAGAATTTGAAAGAAAAAGGTATGGGTCATTTGCCTCTGATACTTGAAAAAGCCAATTCTAAACTATATCCTATTCATAAGAAGAGGGTGTTGGAATTACATTTATTGCTTATATCATAGTTTTGCTAAAAAAAAAAAAAAAATTCCAGTTAGATGTTAATCAAGAAAATCAAAGATGAATGTCACGATAGCACGTATGAAGTCAAGGACATAAGGAGAATCTTTTATGTGTAGCATAAAACATGGCAAGCAGTATTCTGATCCAACAAACAAACCGTAATGTCATCTAGAACATGTAGGTTAGGTTTTCCATTAAGTGGCTGATACTTGAATGTATGTGTAGTTACCTTTTCTCCAAACTAACAAGAAAAACTTAGAATTATGTGTGTATGCTTCCCATGGTCTCTTAACTGTCTTGACTTAAGTTGTAGCAAAGGAAGATGAGACACAAGCCGAGTTTAAGAATTGTAGTTGGAAATGAAAAACCCTTTAATATGTAATGTTTCCTTGACGCACTTGTTCTGTTGTTCAGTTATTATAAATAATTTAACTTCTCTAGTGAGTTTAGTTCAATAACTTGGAGAATTTACTTGCTGTAAGAATGACTAAACAACATTATTAGAAACAAACATTAACAGGAATACATGCAAATAGTAGAACACTAGCATCGTATATGGTAAACTACCCTATTTCAGAAAGCTGTTTCTAATTTCAAGCTGAAAATTTTGCATGTGAGACAATATTTGAAGATTGAATTACGTATTTAAATATATTGTTTGTCTACCATCTCAGGTTTCCATCCTTCCTCCATTGGCTTCAGTATTTGTGACTAGCATTGCCGCACAACTTGCTGATAACTTGATTGCCAATGGTGTTGAAACCACCACGGTATGGAATGATGCTGTCCAAATAATTTTTCATAAAATTTTAATCATGATTGGCAATGGACAATGTCCAGTCCATTGTGTCTGTTATAGATTCTTATGATGAAAAGTGAATATTTGGTGCCAACTACAGATACCTATTTTTCTGCTATATTTGATTTTAAAATTGCTCTTACCTATCAGCTCCTATTTTAAGTGATTTCTTAATATAGTATCAATGCTCAGTTGATCTAGTGCTCTTGCATTTTAGCTACCTTAATATATTAATAAAATTATAATAAGCGATGTTTGAGTTTATGTTTGTAACGTAGTTGTTATGTGATTTCTTATTATGGTATTAATGCTCGGTTGATCTAGTGATCTTGCATTTTAGCTACCTTGATATGTTAATAGAATTATAATAAGTTATGTTTGTGTTTATGTAGTTATGGTTGTGTTAAGTCCATGTGCAAGACACGATGTAGTATGTTGGATCTGAATTATCATTGTTGAGCCCTTTCATCAGTTTAAGATTTTTTGTGAAGTGGTTTTTTGACACTTATATAATTATATTGCCTTGAATTAACTAATTTATGACACTCAATATTTATTCAAAGTCATCTACTTTGATTCTGACTTGAAAGTTTATGACAACATTAATCTTCTGCATTTAGGTGCGAAAGATTTGCCAAACTATTGCCTTTTTGTCTCCTGCTGTCTGCATGACTCTATCTTCTTTGGATCTAGGGTTGCCACCTTGGGAAATTGTGGGTATTCTCACAGCTGGCTTAGCCCTTTCAAGCTTTGCCTTGTCAGGTACTGAATAATCCATCTGTATTCTGATATTAGGCTGGAACAAAAACTGGATTTTGCCTGTCCTTGTGATGTAAATGGCTAACACATCTTTTTCCCTCTTTGACAGGACTTTATTGTACCCATCAAGATATTTCTCCTGAATATGCAAGTATACTTTTGGTAAGTAAGGTTATACCTCTTCATTTAATATGTGCTCAAATTTCCTTTAGGTATCTTCTGATAATTCATCTTAGGTGTGAAAACAGTGTTGAAAAATTCAAGCTACTTAATATCCTGTAAAATCAGTGTATGATTCCTGTATTCTAGATCATTTCAAAAGGGGCATGGTTCCCTTTTGGTGTAAGCGGGACAAAAGCATTTATCATAATATACTTTGCCAAGTTGTTTTCGTTCAGCTTGCCACTTGGCAATGATTATTCTCATAATGCAAAAGGCTAGAATTAAACATCTTGTAAATGGATTTTGTACCTATCATCAATGTTCAGACCATACTATAAGAACTGTGACAATTAAAGATTCTTGCCAGCGCACACTATCTTTCCTTATATAATAACCTTCAAGTGAGACTAAGTTTGTATCCAAAGTGGCATGGCACTCATTTAGGACTGTCATAGACAATGGCATAATGCAGCAAACCTTATAACAGTTTTTAATCAGTACACACAATGTTGGGTAGAAAGTTTCAATATGGACTTTGTAAGGGTAATGTTGCTCATTCTAGATTAGCTCTACAAGTGTGCCATAATGTTTATCCATTAAGAAGTTCGGGATTAGCAATGACGAACCCTGGAGTAATTTATGTATCGCATAGAATGCCATATTCATGAGTTTATGGTACACCTTCTGTGTTTGCGTCCTACAATTGAAGTATGTTTGATTTTTACGAATCTCCTAAAGTTTGCAGCCTGTATAAGCATTTTTCAGAGCATGCACAAAGATGTCTTTCAGTTATTAACATGTGAAGTTCTCTTTGAATAATTTTCGGTCAGGGTATTACCAACACTGTTGGGGCAGTACCTGGAATTGTTGGTGTTGCCCTAACCGGTTACCTCCTTGATTCAACTCACTCATGGAGTGTAAGTAACCACTTTCCTCTTAGTATTGATTTCGATAATGGCAAATATTGTATCCATAGATTTCATCCTCATAATTTGCATTAATCTTTTGCAGCTGTCATTGTTTGCACCATCAATCTTTTTCTACCTGACTGGTTCAATTGTATGGCTGGCATTTGCAAGTAGTAAGCCTCAGAACTTCTCCACAAAAGATCATTGACCTCATTTCAATTCTTTGTATTGGGTTTGGAGTAGAGTATCCAAACTGAGAGTACATAATTCAGCAATATTTCTAACACCATTTCTTCCACTAGCTGGGAGGAGAAATGTACCTTCTCCGCTGATCTGAACACACACACACACACCACCAAACCAACCAAAAAAAAAAAAAAAAAAAATAATATATATATATATATATATATTATCCAACTGCAATGTAATCTCAGTATTTTGACTGTAAAAGTCTTGGTTGGCCAATAAGATGATTTATTGAATATGATTGTAGTCCACTTTGTTGTTAAGGCTGTGTACATGGTGTAATGTGTATTGTATAGTCAAGAATTTGTAGCTTTAAATCTGACCAACTTTTGTAGTGTCTCACTTTGTCTTTTTTCTACAATGAAACTTTCCAATGAAATGCTCAGATTTATAAAAGTTTACTGTGGGGTCTGTCACATGATACATTTTTTTTTCGATGCCACCAACTTTAATGGGAAAATAGCTGTAGGGCAGAGCTCTTTTTACGATATATTTCAATGGTCAAATAGTTCTCCATTACTTTATTTTTCAATGATATTAAGCTAAAATACAGGGGCTGAAACAAACATAAGCCAAACATTGGTGTCAACTGTCAACACTACTTTTCCTTAATTTTTTAAAATTTTCTCCCAGTGGATAACTAAATGTTCACAGAGAGAAATGATTTAATTGCATTCTATCTTATTTGATCAAATTACTGAATGGAACCAACTTCAGTTCCATCTATTGCTTGCTCAGCTGCAAGCAGGGAGAATAACATGTGGCATGTGAACAAATACAATAGACAAAGGATCAACCACTATTTCCTTTGTTGAATTTACAATTAAAGGCAACAATGGAGGTATATCTCCTTCTGAATTTACACTTAAAACTTTTCCATTAAGTAGCATTGTTTGGCTATGTAAATCTCCATCCTTTGCTGTAAGATGGTATTCCTCCCTTGAATTTCCACCGGGAGAAGCCTGAGGTAGCTGAACAATTTCTGTGCTCTGAGATTTTCGTTGGTATCGCATCGACAATGTTTTGTTAAACATAACATTGGCATGAACTGTGGTGCTATTGTCTAGGTTAATCAGTAGTAATGTGATCCCCTTCTGCAAGGTCAAAATTATAATCAGCTCAGAAAATTGGAAACCTCAGAAGAGGTTAAAAAAAAAAAAAAAATGGAATGTAACTTACTGATTGTTTTGCACAATGAGCATATGCACGTATTTTTTTGGTTCCGGAAAAGCTTGTTGACAGAACATTTCTTCCCATTAATCGGTGCCAAAGAAGAGCACTGCATTTTCCATGGATAATTAATTAGTTAATCTTTGAATCTAAATCATCTGAAACTTGCTAACTGTTGAATTTGCCATGGAATTCAGCATTAAGTACTTGGAAGATGTTCAGAATTAAAAGTTTCCAGGCAGTAACTTAACAAAAGAACTCAAATAAATCAAGGACCTGTAGTAATCTGGGTTGGGTACAAAGGTTGTAGTGTCGAGTAAACCATAATTTCCTCCAATTAATGTCTGTCTGCAGTATGTTTTGGTATCATGAACTGATGCCATACCGAGTTGATCCAAATACCTGTTTGTGATGTTCAAAACAAGAGAAATTAGAAATCAACCATAAAAAACCAAAGACGGAATTTAGTCATGGACAATAGCCATTTTACCAGAAGCTAAACACAAAGGCATTGGTAACAAGATTATGGCCACTGTTGTAAGCCCCTCCTGCCTCACCAACCCAAGCAACAGCTGAAGTTCCAGAACTCTTGATGAGGTTTTTAACTGCACTAAATGTAGCGACCTCATTATCAAGAATGGATGGATCAAGAATTTTTTCAACAAGGTGCTCATCAACTCCTGTTAAAAAAGAAAGCAAATCTGTCAAATTTCACTGACATAGTTTGAGGCTTGGGATAAACTTCGGAATCAGTTTTTTCAATCAAAGATACCTGGTCCAAGATTATATATGTGACGGCTGACCACATCTAAAGATTTTTTTGATTTATCTATATATTCTTTAAACCATTTTTCATCATAGAATCCTCCGGGTGCAATTATCAGAGGCTTAGGTTCCACGCCCGTATAAATTTTCTGCACAATATTCTGTAGAACCATTGTGTCAGTAACATATTGAGCTGCTGCAACTCTTGTTCCAACTCCAGTTCCACTCAATTCATTCCCTGACCAGCAAAGAGATAATTATATTATTTCATTAAGAAAATTACAGTTACTTAATATCATCTTGCATATTGTAAATGAACAAATCATAATTCTCATGTTCTAATAAAGTTTAATGATCAACAGCAGAGATTGATCTTACCGAGCTCCCAACCATGTATATTATAGTTCTTTTTAACTGTATAACTTATCAGAGATTCAGCATTGGTGGAGTCCCAAGCTCCTTCAGAAGGACCATCAGTATGAACAGAGCGTCCGGCAAGAGCATTTAGCCCAAAAATAATCTTAGCCCTGATTAAACAATGGGACAGTTAAAAGGTTCAACTTCAGGTAAAAACAGCTTAATCTAGATAAAAAGAATGCAAAAACCAACTGTTCATACCCAGCTTTCTTGAAAAACTCATTAAGTTCATCCCATCTATTCATCGGTAAACACCCTTGAGTAAAACCAAACAACTCTGAAGTGTTTTTGACAAACGAAACACAAGACTGTTTACTATCTTCAGTAGCATATATGACCTTATCTTGCAAAGTGCCACCCAATCTAATCTTCAATGGTGAAAAAGCTGATCCATCAAACCAATAATTTTCAGGCTTTTATAAAGAACTAGAGGCTTTGTCATTAAAAAACTAATAATTAATCAGAAAATAATGCCAAGAATTATTTACCTTTCACTGCATTCAAGAATATATTGTTATTAAGATCCTGCATAAGAAAAAAACAAAAACAAAAACAAAAACGGAACAACTGCATTATTACATTCTCATCAATGCACTCAATTAAAGCAGATAAAACAAAGTTAATTTTGAATAATTTTTCACAAAATAGAGAAAAATAAATCTCAAAAAAAGAAAAAAAGAAAGAAGTAAAGAGGAAAAGAAAGAAGCTTTACCAGATTAAGCATGGAAGTTTTGCCCCAGCTGCATGTTCCATAGTCACATTTCTCCGGAGGCCACCAGTCCATTGTTGCACAAATGAAATCATCATCAATCCTTCCAATGACAGTTTTCTCATCAATGAAAACGCTTCCTTCAACCACACTTCCATAACCAGAAAAGAAGTTTAAGCTTAAAAGACAGAACCCCACCAACCACTTCGCACAACCCATCTCTGAATTAACTTAATGTTGAAGATCTGACTCTCTCCCGCTCTCTTTATAAACTGTTTAACAACCCATGGAAGTGAAGAGGAAAGGTTAGCGCAGTGAGCCCCGTGAGCTAAACGACATATACAATTTGCAAGAGATAAAAGATTTTGATTATATTATTATTATATGCATTTATCAAATAGATAATTGATAAATTCTTATACGTTAAACATTACATTACATATAATGAAGAATACAACAAACCACATTTAAGACAGTTAATGATATACCTGTTTGCATTCAATCATAAATCTGTAGTTACATTACTTTTGTACATATAAAAAGGTCATATATATAGCATATCATAAATTACTGTTTAACATCTTATAAATGTGGGAGAAAAATATGTGTGCCCATCTAATTATTACATAAATCCCTAACATAGTTGATCGACACGTATTAAACAAGTAGGATTTATATCCGTTCAAGTACGTGACTTTTACGTATTTAACATGTATCCGTTCAATTACACAACACTAGTAATTACATGATTTATGCGTATTTAACGAGCATATATAAATCCGCATTTGTGTAAATGTAAGATTTAAATACATTAGATAGACATACATAAAACTCTCATCTGTCCAATCATATAATATAAATAAATGTGTTTTTTTTTTTACTTGTATTATAAAATTACTAATTTACCCTTATTTACCGTTAAGTTAATACCGATTCAATATTAAATGTCCCAAGATTGTTTACTATTTGAATAAAACATTATTCCTAAATTTATAATCTCCCTAAAATTGTAAAATTTAATTTAATATAAAATTTTCCAAGTTGGGTTCACGTGTTGTGTAGTAAGAGAAGTTGGGGACTGTTGGGGCCAATGAAAGGGAGAACGACATTTTTCCACCCAAGGTTTGGTGAGACGACACTTTTCCACCCATCAAGTTTCAAAATAACACTTTTCCACCCTTTATTAGGTTCTGTTATATTTTTCGTTAATATTTTATTGAAAAGACGAAAATACTCTTAATAATTTTACTTTATTATTTTTTAATTAGCCAAAAAATAAAATATTAAAAAGTCAAAAAAGAAAAAATAGTTAACCCCACCTAAGAAGTTATGAGTAATGCTATGGAATTGTTTAAAGTTAAATAACTTTAATATTTATTTATTTATAATGTTATCAATATCTTATCACTATTATTTAATAATCTACTAAATTTATAATGTTTTTTATTTTTATTAATTAACATTAAAAATTAATGTTCCTAATTAATTAAATAAACAAAGAAAAAAAGTATCTTTACACTTGGATTAATAAATAATCAAATAAAGACTTTGGCTTAACTAAATTTTAATTTATAATAAACTAATTAAGAAATAAACAATTTAAGAGTGTTTTCATATTTTTAGTTAAATATTACTAGAAAACAGTAACAAAATCTAACGAAAGGTAAAAAAATGTTATTTTGAAACTGAGGGATGGGAAAGTGTTGCTTCGTCAAACCTTGGGTGGGAAAATGTTGTTCATCGGGGGATCAGCCTTACGCTTTACAGATTTAGCAAAAGCATGCGTAGACTTCACTTTTTAGATTAGATTTAGCTTTACACTTTGGTTGGCCCTACTCTACACCACTCCTCACTCCACTCCTAAATTAATATGATTATGTCGGCATCCTGGCATAACTCTATTGTTGTGTGGCTTATTCTGTATTACCCCTTATCTATAGGTTAATAAAATATTACCCAATTAGATTCAACTACTAGCAATGTGACCCCTTATTTATTAATATTTAAAATTTCTTAACTAAGCAAATGAGTTTTTGGGTGAAGGATATTTGTGTGAAAACCAAAAGCAACTGTATGAGCCTAAGTTCAAAACGAATAATTTCTACTTAGTTTAGCTGGATCTAGGACGTAACAATCACTCCATTCATTTCGAAAACTAAAGTGATCTTTCAAATTTCAGATGTTAAAGATAATTTTTTTCGATAAAAAACATTTTTTGAATAAAGTGAATAGTGAAATCATCTTAACGATAAGGGTCACGTAGCTTTTAAAACCAACAAGTAATATCATCCTTTAAGTAGAACTGTAAAAGTAATGGTAAAAANTTCTCTTTATAAACTGTTTAACAACCCATGGAAGTGAAGAGGAAAGGTTAGCGCAGTGAGCCCCGTGAGCTAAACGACATATACAATTTGCAAGAGATAAAAGATTTTGATTATATTATTATTATATGCATTTATCAAATAGATAATTGATAAATTCTTATACGTTAAACATTACATTACATATAATGAAGAATACAACAAACCACATTTAAGACAGTTAATGATATACCTGTTTGCATTCAATCATAAATCTGTAGTTACATTACTTTTGTACATATAAAAAGGTCATATATATAGCATATCATAAATTACTGTTTAACATCTTATAAATGTGGGAGAAAAATATGTGTGCCCATCTAATTATTACATAAATCCCTAACATAGTTGATCGACACGTATTAAACAAGTAGGATTTATATCCGTTCAAGTACGTGACTTTTACGTATTTAACATGTATCCGTTCAATTACACAACACTAGTAATTACATGATTTATGCGTATTTAACGAGCATATATAAATCCGCATTTGTGTAAATGTAAGATTTAAATACATTAGATAGACATACATAAAACTCTCATCTGTCCAATCATATAATATAAATAAATGTGTTTTTTTTTTTACTTGTATTATAAAATTACTAATTTACCCTTATTTACCGTTAAGTTAATACCGATTCAATATTAAATGTCCCAAGATTGTTTACTATTTGAATAAAACATTATTCCTAAATTTATAATCTCCCTAAAATTGTAAAATTTAATTTAATATAAAATTTTCCAAGTTGGGTTCACGTGTTGTGTAGTAAGAGAAGTTGGGGACTGTTGGGGCCAATGAAAGGGAGAACGACATTTTTCCACCCAAGGTTTGGTGAGACGACACTTTTCCACCCATCAAGTTTCAAAATAACACTTTTCCACCCTTTATTAGGTTCTGTTATATTTTTCGTTAATATTTTATTGAAAAGACGAAAATACTCTTAATAATTTTACTTTATTATTTTTTAATTAGCCAAAAAATAAAATATTAAAAAGTCAAAAAAGAAAAAATAGTTAACCCCACCTAAGAAGTTATGAGTAATGCTATGGAATTGTTTAAAGTTAAATAACTTTAATATTTATTTATTTATAATGTTATCAATATCTTATCACTATTATTTAATAATCTACTAAATTTATAATGTTTTTTATTTTTATTAATTAACATTAAAAATTAATGTTCCTAATTAATTAAATAAACAAAGAAAAAAAGTATCTTTACACTTGGATTAATAAATAATCAAATAAAGACTTTGGCTTAACTAAATTTTAATTTATAATAAACTAATTAAGAAATAAACAATTTAAGAGTGTTTTCATATTTTTAGTTAAATATTACTAGAAAACAGTAACAAAATCTAACGAAAGGTAAAAAAATGTTATTTTGAAACTGAGGGATGGGAAAGTGTTGCTTCGTCAAACCTTGGGTGGGAAAATGTTGTTCATCGGGGGATCAGCCTTACGCTTTACAGATTTAGCAAAAGCATGCGTAGACTTCACTTTTTAGATTAGATTTAGCTTTACACTTTGGTTGGCCCTACTCTACACCACTCCTCACTCCACTCCTAAATTAATATGATTATGTCGGCATCCTGGCATAACTCTATTGTTGTGTGGCTTATTCTGTATTACCCCTTATCTATAGGTTAATAAAATATTACCCAATTAGATTCAACTACTAGCAATGTGACCCCTTATTTATTAATATTTAAAATTTCTTAACTAAGCAAATGAGTTTTTGGGTGAAGGATATTTGTGTGAAAACCAAAAGCAACTGTATGAGCCTAAGTTCAAAACGAATAATTTCTACTTAGTTTAGCTGGATCTAGGACGTAACAATCACTCCATTCATTTCGAAAACTAAAGTGATCTTTCAAATTTCAGATGTTAAAGATAATTTTTTTTCAATAAAAAACTTTTTTTGAATAAAGTGAATAGTGAAATCATCTTAACGAAAAGGGTCACGTAGCTTTTAAAACCAAAAAGTAATATCATCCTTTAAGTAGAACTGTACAAGTAATGGTAAAAAAAAAAATTAATAGGGGAAAAAATAATAAAATACAAAAACAAAAGAAAAAAATTGTCTCAAACCATAAATAAATGATAAAAATGGAAATCGCCCGTGAAGTCTTGGTCTACGTTACAATCCAGGTTCATGAAGATTGAAATGGGTTTCATATTTAACACGAACACAAATTAAAAAAAAAAAAAACATAAGAGTATACCTTATCACTCGATCCCAATATTCTTTTAAAAAAAGACACCTTTTCATTGCACCCCCCATTACTCCATTACACATGCATTATATGCAACAATTATAAAAGAAAATCGAAGAAGGTGAACGTGAGAATGGGACAACATACGTCAATATCGTATTCTATATTATATATTTAACATTCGATGGTCCAAGTTTATATGTATGAAATTGTAAGGACCATATGATATAACTTAGGCATGAAAGGATAATTTAGGTGTGAGCAAGGGTAGCGGGTAGAACCGGAACCGAAACCTTCTCGGAACTAACACTCTGCAGGTAGATTCCAGTTCTATTTTTTTGGAATCGATACTATGCAGTTCCGGTTCCGATAAACCTGAAAAAAAGAACCTGTAACGAGTACTTAGCTTGGAACCTGCAGCAGGTACCCTGTTTTGGAATCTGGGCTAAAATGAAATATCTGTGAAGAATGGGGGGTCTATGTAATTTTATATATAAAAAAATTAAAATGAAAAAAGTTAAATTTTTACAATAACCTAGTTAAATAAATATACAATTATACTTATTACGTATAAACTACACCGTATAAAAAATTTTAATATATTATAATATATTAATATTAAATTTTTGATTAATTAAGTGTATAATTAGAATTAGGACCAATTAAAAATATTTTAATATTATTAAAGGAATTATTTTGAATGAAATAGTATATTTGATTGAATAAAAATATATTATTTATTTATTTA